CATCCATCCATCCATCATCCATCCATCCATCTATTTTTGGGGTGAAATATGACTGGGATATTTCATGCACTAAAACCATCTTTCTCTGATGGGGTCTGTTATGTGAGAGGCACAAAGATGAGTGGATTTGTGTTTATCATTGAACATCAATCATGTCTCATCATGACGAGCTCTTCTGTCATCATAACACCCAGAAACATCAACACAATCTGAGATACTGAGATCACGGCAAATGAGCCTGAAATATGAAGCGTTTGTGATGCAAACCAAACATCTGGATATAAACTAAGAATATACAAGCTGAATTCACTGGCGTAACTGATGGAGAAGATTCCTGAAAACCAAAAACAGACTCACTAGCTGTCATCCAATAAGAGAATTAAGTTTGAACATGACAGTAAAAGTTAAAGCACTAGTCCACCAAAAATGAAAATGTGCTCACCCTCAGTTCATCCGAGATCAGGATGAGTTAGTTTCTTCATCAGGTTTGGAGAAATGTAGCACTGCATCAGTGTCTCAGCAATGGATGCTCAGCAGTGAATGGGTGCCGTCAGAATGAGAGTCCAAACAGCTGATAAAAACATCACAATAATCCACAAGTAATCCACAGCACTCCAGTCCATCAGTTAACATCTGGAGAAGACAAAAGCTGAAACTAATCCAGCATTAAGACGTTTTTACCCATAAACCTTTGAAAAAGTCCATCTCATCTGAATCAGGAGAAATCTGCACAGATCAAGCACCGTTTAGAAGTCAGAAAGAGCTTTATTGTCAAGTACGTTTACACACACAAGGAATTTATCTTGGCGACAGCGGAAGAAAATAGTGCAAATATACATGATAGTGCAGACATGCATAGAATTACTTGTGGATTATTGTGATGTTTTTATCAGCTCTTCTGAGGATTCATGCAGTGCTGCATTAGAGTTTGGTCTGAATCTCAGCATAATGCTGCTGCCTACCTTCATCACGTCAAGAACATGTTCCCTCACGATGCCTTAAAATGCTGTTCATGTAGTCAGCCGAGTGTTTGGAGCAGAGATAATGAACCGTGTGTGTGTGTGTGTGTTCAGATATCGACGAGTGCTCGGAGGGTTTGGTTCAGTGTGACACACACGCCATCTGTGTGAACTTACCTGGTTGGTATCACTGCGAGTGTCGTGACGGTTACCATGACAACGAGGTGTACACCGCCAATGGAGAGTCCTGTAAAGGTACAGCTGTCCAAACACACACACACTCACACACACACACACACACACACACACACAAAATAAGGGGTTATTATTGTTAGCAAAAAAAAACTTGAAATACTGAAGAAAAAAAATGTAAAATGTAAAAAAAGTAAATATTTTACTTCAACTAGTTGTAGATTCTCATTTTAACGTAAAGTTTGAAGTATTAAAATAAATAAAAAAACTCAATTATTAAATACTACATACATATATACAGTATATATATAACTTTAACTAAAATTAAAGTGAAAACAGAAAATATAAAAATAAAATCTAATTCAAGATACTAACAAAAACGATAATAGCATATCAGTGATATAGAGTTGATATTGATAACTTGGAAACCAAATTCATTACTTGAAATAAAATAAATAATTTCTCATTTTAGTTCAAGTACTAAGATAAACTAAAACTGTAAATAAAAATTTATAAAAACTTGACATATTAAAACAAAAACATTTAAATAGATGTATAAAAAACTAAAAATAACAAATACACAACAAAAAGACTAAAACTTAAAATTAAAGTGAAAACAGAAATGATGAAAAACAAACATAATTCAAAATATTAACAAAAACTATAGTAGTATATCACTGATATATTGATTATTGTTAACTAAAACAAACCTCTCTCTCTCTCTCTCTCTCTCTCCATTGTTACTTGAAATAAAATACACATTAACTGAAATAAAATTTAATTATTTCATTATTTTATTTCAGCTAGTTGCCAATGCAACATATCTCATTTAGTTTAAGTAGTAAAGTAACAAACTAAAATGGAAATCAAAATGAGTAAAAACTATATAGACATGTTAAAAAACAATAAATAAAAGACAAAAACACATAACAAAATGACTAAAACGTTAATTAAAACTGTAGTAAAAACTAGAGATGCACCGATACCGATACTGTGTCCGAGTACCAAAAATGAAAGTATCGGTATCGGACTCATTCTATAATTCAAAATATTAACAAAAACTATAATAGTATATCAATGATATATCACCAGGGTTACTCACTAACCGAAAAAAAAAAAGTTTTCCATTATTTTATTTCAGCTAGTTGCCAATGCAACATTTCTAATTTTTGTTTAGTTTAAGTACTAAAATAATAAATTACAATTGAAATAAAAATGAATAAAAATGAATAAAAACTATATAGACATATTTTAAAAAATAAAAATAAAAATAAAAGACAAAAAAAAACCACAACAACATGACTAAAACTTTAAATAAAACTGAAGTAAAAACTAGAGATGCACCGATACCGATACTGGTATCGGGCCCGATACTGCGCTCCTGTACTCGTACTTGTAAAAATGCCCCGATACAAAAAGCTGATACCACACAGCGTGTGAATATCGGTATCGGCGAATACCAAAAATGAAAGTATCGGTATTGGACTCATTCTGAAAAAAGTGGTATCGGTGCATCCCTAGTACAAACAGAAGAAAAACATCAAATTCAAAATATGAAGAAAAACTCTAATAGTGTATGATTGATGGGTTTGTTTGGTCCTGCGCAGACATGGACGAGTGTGTGACGGGCCACAGCAGCTGCGCTAACGACACGGTCTGCTTTAATCTGGACGGAGGCTACGACTGCCGCTGCCCTCACGGACACAACTGCAGCGGAGACTGCGTCCACGACGGCAAGCTCAAGCACCACGCACAGATCTGGCTGCTGGACAGCGACCGATGCTCCGTCTGCTCCTGTCAGGTCTGTGAGAGTGATGCATTATGGGTATCAGCTCTGACGAGGGGAAACAGCGGCGCAGGGTTAACAGCATCATAAATCACCGCCACATGATCAAAAACAACACGCTTTAAAAGACGTTTATCAGCAGCATCTGTGGCATAATCTCCATTAAAACACACAGAAAGTGCAGTTACAGTAGGATTCATTAACAAATATTACAATAATGAGTAATTAAAAAAAAACATTGAATTAAATATATATATATAATATATCTTATATATATATCTTTAAAAATATATATTACAATATTTACAATGTTATAATAAAGTATTATTTAATAACATAAGCATAAACTATATGTAAAAACAGAGCATATTTAAAAACATTTATTTTAAATGTCCCGTCGATTTTCAAATTAAATTAAATATATACATGAACTATTCTGTATAAAAAATTATATATAAATATTTTATTTTTATACAGAATAGTTCATGTATATATATATATAGTGTTATGATAAAATATTATTATTTATTTCATATATTCTGGTAAGTTTTACTACATATATGAAAGGATAAAAGAAAATAATGCTTTACATAAAACAAAATCTGAGATCTGTGACAACAGTTACAGTGAGACTAGTAAATATTAATATTTATTAATATTTAGATTAGTTTTGTATTTGCCATTTTAATTTGAGTTAGTTTTAGTAATTTTGTGGTTTTTGTCACTTTTATTAGTATTTTTAATTTGTCTATATAGCTTTATACATTTTTATTTCAGTTTTTGTTTTTTAGTACAAACTAAATTAAAGTTTTGTTTTAATTAAAACTAAAAGTATGTTTTTATTGAATATTTTATTTTATTATTTTATTTTATTTCAAGTAATAAAGTTGGTTTAGTTTTAGTTAACTACAATAAGCCTGAGTAATAAATAAATAAATAGAAATAAAAAAGTGTTGTAATTCTTTATACATTTCAAAACATTCTACATTTTATTGTAAAAATCTAACAAAAATATAAAAAAATACAATATTGCATTTAATATTACAATTCAAAATTTTAGTAATATTAAAAATCTGTTGTAATTCTTAATTAAAAAGTTTAAAAACATTCTAAACAATATAACATTTTAGTATAAATATTATGAAAATACATAAACATAAATAAAATCTGAGATCTGTGTCAAATTAAAACATGTTAACGCACCTAGAAAAGTATTCCCAATCAACCGTATCACACTGTCTAGAGTCTTATTTATTGAATATCAGCTCGTATATATGTGAAGATATGAAGTGAAATGTAAATGTAATTGTTTTTGTGTTGAGTTTGTTCTGAGTTTTCACAGCGCTGAAGGATGGAGTCGCATTTCTATTAAAGCCATTGACCTCCATCAATTACTCGCTAATTAAGTCTTTAACTGAAATGCTTTCTTGCATCTGGAGGAGGCGACGAACACGATGGGTTTTCAGATATTAAATAATCAATCTACTAATTAAGGCGCTCTAATCAGCCCAGAGCGTTTAATTGATGTGAAGAGGGAGAGCTGTCAATCAAAACGAGACGTGATTCTCGGGTCAAAGAGTTTCAGCTGCTGAAGATAAAGGACAAAAACTACTTCTGGAGTCATATGACCCCCAAGAACACACTGGCATTTAAACTGACATCATCTTTGCAAGAAACACTAGTTTTCTTCATATGAACGTTTAAACTATAAACTCAGATCGGATTTGAAGAACAGACGCAGAAGATGACAAGATCTTCAAAAGAAGCTTATCAACAGCATCTGTGGCATATTATCAATTAAAACACACAACAAAAGTGACCATCAGTTTATTAAAAAAAAACTAAAGGGAAAAATGCAGTTACACTAAGATTAAAGGCAGTACAACAAATATTAAAATGATGAGTTTAAAACAAACGTTAAATTAAATCTATACATAAAAAAACCCTTTAAATTAAATATATACGTTAAAAAACATTAAACATATACAATAAAAACCATTAAATTAATTGTATACATTAAACAAACATTATATTAAATATATACATTAAAAAACATTAAATTAAATATATACATTAAATATCCATAAAAAATGGTTAACATAAAAATAATATTAATATTTTATAACAATGATGTAATTAAGTAAAATTTTTTTTTTAATTCATAAAAAATATTTTAAAAATCATAAATTATTTCAATTTCCTAGTAAAGTTCATTTTATACATTAAATATCCATTAAAAAGTCATTGGTAACATATAAAAAATAATATTAATATTTTTTAATAATATTATAATATTTTTAATAAATATTACAAATATTTTAAAAATCATAAAAACAAATCATATAGAAATCATTTAAAAAAATGTATTTCTTTTAAATTTCTTACATTGTATATACTGTATATATACACACACACACATACATATATATTACTATTTTATAACAATATTTTACAATATAATAATATATAATAACATAATATTATATAATAAATAAAAATTATATAAAATATAACACATTATATAGAAATCATTCTAGAAATTATTTTCACTTCAGTTTTCATTTCACCCCATGCTAGAGCAGTGTTACTTTAGTATGACAGAGATACTATCACAGTTTGTATTAATATTTTGAATTATATTGTATTTTGACACATCAGTTATTTTAAGTGTAGTTCAATGTTGAGCCGCTGAGCTGTGTGTGCTGCAGTCGGGCCGTGTCCAGTGCAGACGGATGGTGTGTGACTGTGATAACCCCTCGCTGGATCTGTTCTGCTGTCCGGAGTGTGACCCGCGCCTCACGTCTCAGTGTCTGCATCAGAACGGCCTGCTGACCTTCTCCAGCGGAGACTCCTGGATCCACAGCTGCCAGCGCTGCCAGTGTCTGGTGAGACAAAAGATAACTATACTGCATTTTATCATCTGTGACCCTGCAGCACAAAAGCAGTGTTAAGTCGCTGGGGTATATTTGTAGCAATAGCCAACAATACATTGTATGGGTCAAAATTAGATTTTTCTTTTATGCCAAAAATCATTAGGATATTAAGTAAAGATCGTGTTCCATGAAGATATTTTGTAAATGTCCTACCGTAAATATATCAAAACTTAATGTTTGATTAGTAATATGCATTGCTAAAAACTTCATTTGGACAACTTTAAAGATGATTTTCTCAATATTCTGATTTTTTTGCACCCTCAGATTCCAGATATTCAAATAGTTGTATCTCGGCCTCACAAAATTGACCCTTATGACTGGTTTTGTGCTCCAGGGTCACATATAAGTACAATATATCTATTCTAAATTACCTGCTAATTGCCTCCTATTTCACTACTGTAATGTACAGTTTTGATTTCCAGGCCTAGAAAAATCATAGAAATTATTAAAATCGTAGAAATGCCAGTGCTGAATTAAATGTAATAAAATAAATAATTTAAAAAAATCTTAAAATAATGATTAAATGAGTTGTTTTAATTGTTTGCAAATGCTGATGTTATGAAATGCATTATTTTATATGTTTAAAAATCATTTTTACACTAAACAGGATCAAACATGCAAAATTAAAAATCATATTTCATTACCATGATAAACCTGGACAACACTTGCTGACACAGACAACATAATGAGGTCATATGACAAAAATATAACAAAATACAGTTTGGAGCGTTTATCATTGTACAGTAGGCAGTATGTAGTGCACCGTATGCACTAAGTAGTGTGCTAGTGTTCCATTCTGATCACCAAAAGCTGAATTTCTGGAACAGTCTCCATCTGCAAACAACAAGTCCAGACTGATAAATAATATGCATGGAAAATGTATTACCGTCACATTCAACGCGGCTCTGGACGATAGCACGAACCCCGGCGGAATGAGGCCAAATCTCTGCTTAGCCAGATCTGCAATACATGCCCTGTGTCTGAGACGGAGTTATTGATAGCTGCTGAGCTGAACGGAGCTCACTGTGGAGGATTCGCTTTAAATGTCAACCTGATCAGGCCTCGCTCTCTGAAGCTGCTTTAGACTTATGCACAACATCACAGAGCAGCTGCATGGATGAAGTTAAGTAGAGTCGAAAGAGATGAGTTTTCAGCTGTCGCTTGAAAATGGTCAGGGGTTCAGCATTCCGGATAGGGGTGGGAAGATCATTCCACCAGCCAGGAACGGTGAACGAGAATGTTCTGGAAAGTGATTTTGAGCCTCTCTGCGATGGTACCACGAGGCGTCGCTCACTAGCGGATCTCAGACTTCTGGAGGGGATGTAGATTCGTAATAGT